CACACGCTTGTACAAAATACGGACTTAAAAAGTTTTTTGTTCTTTTCTATCTCACAAAACGATTTGTTTTATTTTACATAGTTACAGTGTTGACCATGTTAGCAATTGTCCTACTACTATTTCTTCCTCCTCCTCCTCCTCCTCCTCCTCCTCCTCCTCCTCCTCCTCCTCTTCTTCTTCTTCTTCTTCTTCTTCTTCTCCACCTCCTCCTCCTCCTCCTTTTTCCTTGTCCTCCTCCTCTTCCTCTTCCTCTCCTTCCTCTCCTCCTCCTCCCCTCCCAAATAACTGTTCCTCTTAAGCAAGAACTGCTCTATGCTGTGAAGCTTCTGGGCACGAAGGTGTGGTATTAAAACTGTACCATTTTTAACAGGTATATAAAAGGAAAACAGAAGCTGCCAAGAAGGAATACCTCAAAGCCCTGGCAGCCTACAGAGCTAGTTTGGTGTCAAAGGTGAGCTTAACGCCGATTTCAGTTCAACGGATAGGAGCAGTTTTCAATGCGGATCTATTGTCTTTTTCAATCATCTTGTTAAAAGTTTTTTTTAAACAAGTAGCCATCTCATTGCTTGAGGTGTATAATGGGGTCCCTGTTCCTTCTAAAATTACCTGCAAACGCAGAACGAAACCTGTGGGAAAAGGCGGGGCAAGTTGAACAATTAAGAACTTTTTAAAAGTGCGATATAATAGGTCCAACATGTTTAGTTTCTTCAACAAATAAGATCAAAGGAGTGTCATGTAAAGCACTGCAGCAGAATATCCTTTTTTTTCTTTTTTAACATCCCTTTAATTCCTTGCCATTGGGGTGGAGTTGAGGATGACTAAATGGAGCTGAGAGTTTCCTGGTCGGATGCCCTTCCTGACACCTACGTGGTGTTCACAGCAGACAATTATTGCGCCCAGAGAGAGAAATAACTGCTGCTACCTAGGATCGAACTCACAGCCTCACAGATTGGGAGGCCAGACCTCTCCACCTAGGCCACCACACCACTCCATCACAGAACGTACTAAGATGAAATACATGAATACTGAGACCAAAGCGGCCTACACTGCATAAATAACCCTAATCTGTAACCCCTAACCCAGATGAGTAGACTTATTGTTGTTGTCTTCTCTTTTTGATGCACAGGCTGCTGCCGAGTCAGCTGAAGCCCAGACAATCCGGTCCGTCCAGCAGACTCTGGCCTCTACGAATTTGTCCTCTTCCTTGCTTCTGAACACCCCTCTTTCGCAACACGCAACGGTCGTCCCCTCCCCACAGACTCTCCCGCAGTCTCTTCCCAGGGCCATCGCCCCCAAACCTTTAACCATGCGGCTGCCCGGGAGCCCCATCGTTGCCCCCGTCTCGGCTGCCCCCAGTGGGCCTACAAACATGTCCCCCTCACTGACCAGCGCCATGACGACCAGCTTGGCTGCCACGCCGGCTTCAGCCCCCTCCCAAGTCAGCCCTTCTTTGCAAAGCCAGCAACACCAGCTGCAGCAGCTGCAGCAGCTGCAGCTGCAGCAAATGCACCACCAGCAGCTGCACCAGCAGCAGCTGCACCAGCAGATCCAGCAGCAGATGCAGCAGCAGCATTTCCAGCACCACATGCAGCAGCAGATGCAGCAGCAGCTGCAACAGATCCAGCTGCAGCAGTTGCATCAGCAGCAGCTGCAACAGATGCAGCAGCAGCAGCAGCACCCGCCGCAGCCCTCCCCCCAGCAACTTTCCCCGGTTTCCTCGCAGATCACCTCACCAATCGCGGCCATCGGCAGCCCACCCTCCGCCAGCCAGCCCCACCCGTCCCAAATACAAGGCCAGACGCAGACTCCGCTCTTATCGCAGGCCGGCATTTTCTGAAGAGGCGCAAAGTCGGCCGTGCTTTGCATCACGGAGGAAGCAAAGCGGTGAATCGGGCGGACGCTGCGCATTGCTGATGAGGAGTTATGCAGGAACGCATAACACATAAAGAGACTTCTAAGCTGTCTATTAGATAGGCAATAAAGAACTACAGTGTAGCTGGGTATAATCCTTTAGCTGAATTATAAATATTTGTTTTCCAGGGTTCCTTTCCCTTCCTGCTTCCCTTCCCCCTTCTTCGTTCCCTCTTGCCTTCCCTTCCTCCTTTGCCTTTCCCTTCCCCCTTCTCTTCCCATCCCCCTTCCCTCTCCCCTTGTCTTCTTTTCCCCTTCTCTTCCCTTTTCTTCCCTTCCTCCTTTTCCCTCCCTCCTTCCTTCTTCTCTTCCCTTTTTTCCCTCTTTCCCTCTCCCCTTCTCTTCTTTTCCTCATCCCCTTCCCCTGTCCCCTTCCTTTCCCTTCCTCCTTCCCTTCCCCTTCTCTTCCCTTCCCCCTTCCTCCTTTTCC